ATTCGCTGTTATTCATATCTATGCATATCTAGTATCACCACCATGGTGTTTTTTTCGCTTGACCGGTAGATGTCGGCCTTTTCGCCTCTTCATTTGCGTTTCCGACTTATAAATATGTGCCAAAGAGTGAAGTCACGAGGGAATCAACTCCGCTTTGTCGCTCTTGTTTCCCCCTTGAACGTAGCACGGACATCTCAGCGCGTGTTCATCGCTCTGCACCCTGTTTCTTGGGCCGTCGTGTCTGGCCCGACGGAACGGCATGCCGCCCGAACACCGTTTGGTTTGATCGCAATAGGATGAAACACTACCTAATCCAGAGTCGAACCTCGAGCAAACGTAGTGAAGCATTTTTCGTGGTTGAACTAAAAGGTGTAGTTGGGGATTAGCATAGGCTACTATCGGAGCCCCTCTGCCTGTGCATTGTTCACTTTTCGGGGATGTCGGAAGAGTGAACCTTGGCTGAACCGTTTTACAACAAGCATTGTGCATGCTTCGAAGTCATTTCTCTTGGCTAGAGTTGCCGGTTCGACTTGAGCCGCCCTTCGGTGACTGCATCGCACCCCCTACTGACTCTAGGTTCCGGGTTCGACTACATATCGCAAGAGCGCAGGTTCGCAGTTTTGCGGTGAAGAGCACAGCGTCGTGAGTGCACACAACAACGGGCATAAGTGACTGCTGCACCCTCCTCGCGGTAGGCATTGAAGGCAAGCACCACAGGAGGAAGGGTAGACAATTCATCTCGTGTAACCCCGGTTGGTGCGCCAAACACGCACTTTCCGTACGGAGTTGGACTCACTCCCAACATTGGACGGGAAAACACACATGCAGGCATGTACTACATGCTTGTCGAGACTTGAGTCATACGATTGCTGGGGTACATTGAAAAAAAAAATGGTGGCTTTGGATTAGGCCAACATGTCGACCCTATTCTCTCTCTGCGTCCATAGACTATATACACTTCGATTGTTTCATTCAAACGCCTTGGCCAATTTGCATCGATGCGCCATGAAAAACACCCCAACATCTGCCGTTCCTCGCAAAACCCACCACCGATACAGCCGCGGCCTTGTCTTCTCTACTGAGGAACTTTGTAAACAGGGATCACAAAAAAGAACTCCTGTGCAACGCACACCTGCCGCTGCCAGTTCGTATCCCTAACCCAAAACAAACGACCGTGAGGCGCCGTCAAAGAAAGTGACGGCGGGGAGAGGGGCAGCGTATTCAATGCTAGAAACACCGGGTCATTCAGTACTGTAGCACCATCAACCTCTGTTCATCGACGTCTATCGGTCGCAGGCGCTACGACACAGCGGGGGGCCGGCAGGTGGTCTCGCCCCCCCTCCCTGATCGTCCAGCTTAACCGTCCGCATACCGCGCCAAGAACATCGCAGCCACCACGCTCACACACCCGTTACTGCTTGGGTCATTCCACGAGCCCGGTCGCTACAATACTGTAATGACGTATCGGAAAAAAACGCCATCGTCGCACAAAATTGAAATACATCGTGCAGGTGCGAGCCTCCCACGAAAGGTATACGTAATGTGAAGACAACAACAACAATACGTAGTAAAAAAAAAAACACGATAAACGGCGGGCGTTGTATACAGCGAACAGTTCGCTCGGAGCCACACCACACCAACGTTCTCGCGAGTTTACCCACCCCTTTGACCTACCGCGCCGAAACGGTTCACGAGTAACAGACGGCGTTACGGCCGCAAAATGATGCAGGACAGATTTCCCGGACCGAAACATCGTGAACACGACGAGTTCTCAGGAGTTGACATCTCACGGATGTTAACCCCGCCTCTCTACCGTGATGGCATCTCATCAAGCGGACCTATCCCAGTATCTCGGTTGTGTCTCAACCGAGTGCGAGGGGGAGACCCGAACATAACACAACGGGGTCACGACGGATACATCGCCACAATGGCACCCTCAGATACATCGCCACCACGGCACCCTCAGAGGGGGGCCGAGATCGTTCACGACTGGCTGACGACAAACACTGCCGTGTCAAACGCGACCAACCTTCTCCTACGGCAACCATGCCACCCTGACGCTTCTTGCCCCACCCACC